CAAAAGCACTGTCCATTCCGTTTTGTGAGCCTTGGGTAAGTTCCCTCGCTTGATCATGGGTTTTAATGCTTTAAAGATGAAGTCTTTGCATGTTAAAGGTTAAAACGAAGTAACTAACACCTATGTGAACTTGTATATGCTTAAAAATGGATCCTTGGACGTGTTTTAGTGTTAAAGGTTGGACCTTTAAAGGATATCTTCACGAAATGCAGTTTCTGCATTCTGTCGTGAAATATCCGGATATCTGCCCGTGAAATATCCGGATATTGGATATCTGGATATGGGAATCTGGATATCCGGATATGGTCAGTGAGGTATCCAGATATTGCATATCTGGATATGTCCCCGAGGAATATCCGGATATTCTAGGATTTCGAAGAACAGTAGCTGTGCTGTGTGTACAGTAGGCTGTTGGGGGTTTGTGGACCCTAGATTGATGAAGTTGAACTTCTGTAATTAATAAACTAAGTCAGAATCATGTGATTAAGGGCTTGTGGCTTTGTTGGAAGCCTTAAGACGTAAATCGTTAAAGGAGAACGTAGTCTTTATGTTAATGCTTTTGAGTTATGTATGTTATACACTTGCTGGTCCTAAATCAGATTGTGATCTGCTGTGTGTTGGACTTGAGTTGTGAGGACTCTTGGCATTGGATAGTGAACTTGCAAGGTAAGCTTTTGTGTCCTCGGTTTAGCCATGTTGTGGTTCCACCATGTCCCATGGGGGTATGGTATATGCATGCTGTGTTACATGCTTTTGATGTTTTGGAAATGCTGTTGAGCTGTTATATGTTAGTGCCTTGTTTATATGCATGGAGGTGTTCCACCTATACGGTAAACCTGAGTATATAGAACATACAATATGGTGAGTCTGTGGGTGAGGTGTAAGCGGTGTTCCTTGTACTACATGTAGGTATAGACGTATTCCTACATTTCTCTGGCCAGTAGAATAGTGATTACACACATGCCATAGATATCTGTTGCACTGCATAGTTTTGAGAACTTATATTGATAAACTGCTTTTAGAACTTATATTGCACATGTAAGTGAGCTTGGGGTGGAAGATCCTTGAGGACCCCTTGACTTACTGAGATTTCTGGTTTAGAGATCTCACCCCACGTTTGGGGAATGCTTATTTCAGGGTCAGGTAATGTTGAGACCTCAGGCGGCAGGAGGCCGGAGCTGAGTTAGACATTGATGATATTATATGCTGACTTATTGGATGCTGGATATGCTTGCTGCTTATATGCTTTTAGCTTCATTTTATGTTTTTGGATTATCTTGTTGAGACGATGTTGATTTGGTGAGCATGGGGATTGTCCATGCCACATAGACTTGTTATGTCTTGCTTTTATCAGAGTTGTATTAGTGTATCAGGATATTGTCCGGATTACGTGATGTATTGCCGTGACTTAGATACTCACTTTATATGTTATATTGAGGTATTTCAGTAGATGTCTTATTGCAATTTACATTCAGGCGATATTTTATGAAATTGATTAAGTAATCATCTTGGTAATTGATAATGACGTCATAGTTGAAAAGAAAAAGAATATTCCACATTTTTAATTAAGTACCGCTTAATACGATGTAATGATAACACTACCGGATATATACGGGGTGTTACAAGATGCTTCAAGGAACTCTTCCTCCGTGTAGTGAAGATGGCTTGGGCAGAAGAAGATGGATAATAGGAAGCAGTAATGCAGTTGCAGTTAAAGATTTCTATGGTTGGCTAACTTATGAGCAGCAAGCGGGTGTGGGAGATAGTGCTTTGTGGTCCTTGATGTGGAGCTGGAATAGCCCTCAAAAAGCTAAAATTATGATGTGGAAAATTATGCACCATAAGTTACTTACTATGGAAACAATAAACAGGTGGGTTAGAGGAGCCGAACTTTGCCCAATCTGCCATGTTGCAAGTGAGTCTATTATTTATGCTCTTAGAGATTGTTTGGAAGTGAAAAATTTATGGATTAATTTGGTCCCAAATTATTTTAGAGCTATGTTCTTTGAAACGGACCTGGAGCATTGGCTGGAGTGCAATATGAGAGGAACATGGGGGATTATTTTACCGGATGATTGGTTGTCATTTTTTATCCTTGCAGTGTGGAAGATTTGGTGCTGGAGAAATGAGGTTAGGCATGGTGCTACTTTATTGGAGCTGTCTATAAGGGAACAAATAATTCGAAATTTGGTGAGGGATGTCGTTCAAGCTTTCAACTAGCCTAATAGCCATCAGATGGGTAAAAGAACTGTGACAACAAGCATTTCTTGGCAGTTTTCGGAGGTTGGATATGTTAAAATTAATACTGACGGTGCTGCTCGAGGAAATCCAGGACCTGCTGCTTGTGGAGGTATTATTCGAAACGCTTTGGTGATTGGTTAAAAGGATTTGCCTTTAAACTTGGTTCTTGTTTAGCCTTTAAAGCTGAATTATGGGGAATTCTTCGTGGGTTGGAAATTGCGTGGAGTGAAGGCTATATGCATATTGAGCTCGAAAGTGATTCAAAGAGTGCTATCTCTGTGCTCACCAACAATGGTGCAGCAGTCCGTGAGGGTCATCTGGTCACTCAGATACGGACTTGGTTACAGAAAGATTGGAGAAATAAGTTTAGTCATATTTACAGGGAGAGTAACACTTGCGCTGATTGGATGGCTAACTATATTCTGGATGCTGAATAGGAAGTTGATAAAGTTTTATGTGAGACTCCTCCTACTGGGATTTATTTGTTGTATTTAGCTGATCTTTCTTCTGTCGGGAGAGACCGTGCTTTAGTCGTTGATTAGTTTGTTTGTTTTTTCTGGGCGTTTAGCCTTTTATTTACCAAAAAAAAAAGGTGAATCAATTAATATAAGAAAATAAATAAATAAAATGACGTAATTTTTGGATAAACGGAGATAAATATATCTCAAGCTGATTGAGAAATATTTTTCTTATATATGGGAAGGGTTATGTTTACAACTTTTTTTGTTTACAACTCTTACAACCTCAACTATGTACTTCCAAAAGTACACTCTCTAGTATTGTACTTGTAGGAGTACATAGTTGAAATTGTAAGAGTTGTAAACAAAAAAAATTGTAAACTTAACCTGCCTATATATATATATATATATATATATATATATATATATATATATATATATATATATTATGTTCTAAGAGAGAATTTTATCTCCTACACACATACATATGTATGGAGAGTGATCTTTTGACTATGGTGTAAGATTTATAAGTCTTATTTCCCATTATAACCGTTGATTTCTGTTAGACTCCCCATCTCAACCGATGATTTTCGTCCAGTAACGGTTATAGTTTATAGAATTATATCAATTAATTAATTATTAATTTCAAATAAATAATAACAGCAAGATGGACAGAAATCAACAGCTGAGATAAGGAGTAAAACTTCTAAGTCTTACATTAGAGTCAAAAGATCTCTCCCTTATATATATATATATGTGTGTGTGTGTGTGTGTGTGAAAAAAAGATTTCTCAAGCAGCATGAGATAAGTTTATCTCCGGCCACTCCAAAATTACGTCGTTTTATTTATTTATTTTCTTATTTTAATTGATTCACCTTTTAATGGTTATGATTTCCCTTTTCTCTCTTCCTTTATCACCACTGATCCATCCTTGTACGGTAATGATTTAAAGCCGGAGATAAAATTATCTCAAGCAGATTGAGAAACGATGCCCTATATATATATATATAGGGTCCGTCGGATGTCATGTTACAAGACATCCTTTTTGTCCTGCCACCAATTATTAACTATGTATTCTGAGAAGTACATAGTTATAATATTAAAGTTACTTTTTTTTCTCTTCTCCATGTCAGAAAAAAACAACTTTACTAATTAAGTACGTACTCCCCAGAGTAGTTATATATATATATAGAGTGTTATATATATATATATAGAGTTTTATATTTATAAATTTTTTGTTTACAAAATCTTACAGACTACACTATATACTTCCGGGAGTACATAATGTAATTTGCAAAAATTTGTAAACAAATCTTTCCCATATATATATATATATATATATATATATATACATATACATATTTATGGGATATGTTATTCTACCTACCATTTTTTTTACCTACCTTTGCTTACCACTCTCCAATACCGTTAGATCAGAATCTTATAGGGTTTGTCTACTCTCATGTTGTAGGAGAGAGCATATCTTATGCTAAGACACAAAATGATGAGACCCACCACTAAAAAAGAGAAAAGAAAAGAAAAATAGCAGCACACTTATCGAAGTGTCTGTGGCATAAGATAGTAGTCTCCTACAATATGAGACTACTATTTCCCATATATATATATATATAGGGATATGTTTTTCTCATGTTGCATGAGACAAATTGTCTCATGCAACACACAAAAAGTGAGTGGGGCCCATTTTTTTTTCTCTCTTCTTCTTAGTGGGACCCACTCAATTTTTTATGTGTTGCATGAGACAATTTGTCTGATGCAACATGAGAAAAACATTTCCCATATATATATAATGGGAATGAGTTTGTTATGTTACAGAAAAATTTTAAAACTTGCTGCTGATACATAGAAAGTCGTGCCAATCACTTTTATTTTTTTATTTTTTAAAAAATGGTGGATCCCATGTCAGTTTGAGTCTATAACATGATGAGGACTTTTTCCTGTAACATAATATCTATAAATCCCATATATATATATATATATATATATATATATATATATATATATATATATTTTTGATCACTTGTATTCATGACTAAAAATTAAAGCCGTCATCAAACAAGATTGCCAAAATATAATGAAACAAGTAACCTCAAATCAAAGCCCATGGACTATAATGAGCAATTATAAAGCAAGATAAAGCTACTTCTTCCCACAATATTTACCAGTGTTGGACAAAGTCATTATTTTACAAAAACTAAAAAGCAAGAAAGACAGAAATAAAAAGCAAAACACAAAAAACAGCGCAAATAACATGATATATCAGCCCTTTTACCATCTGTTAAATCATCTAGGCCTCCACCTTAGAGTTCTGTAATTTTTCCCTCCATGTTGTTCATATACAAAATCAAGCTGAGGGAAGATTTTGTAGAGCAAATCATCCACATGCTTACTATACCACAGCCTCCATCTCTTCCAGAATATAAGGGGAAGGTTAACAAATCCAAAGCCAAAAGTGAATCCTATCTCAGAACTTAAAAAATTCCAGTCAATTGAACTATGTGTTTCAGGAGCTGTATATGGTGGTATTGGCAAGTCTTGTACTCCATCATCACTACAATTCTTGGTTAGTGGAGGTCCACATAACCCTTCATTGCCTTCAAAGGAATCTGCTTCAAAAGACTGAATTTGAGTACCTGTTGGAATTTTCCCCACCAAATGATTAAAGGAGAGGTTCAAAACTGAAAGGAAAGACAAACTTGCCATTTGTGTGGGAATAACTTTACTCAAATTGTTATTTGACATGTCTAATGACTCAAGCTGTGTCAGATTTCCAAAAGATAATGGGATGTGGCTAGAGAAAGCATTGTGTGATAGGTTAAGAACAATCAATGCTTTAAAACTCATAAGCTCTTCTGGTATTGGACCATCAAAATGGTTGGATGAAAGATCCAATGAAGTTAAGACAGCAAGAATTTTGGCCAACATCATTTGCATACCTTTGTTGACAACTATAACTGAATCTAGGTAGGTTCCACGCAACTGGTCAGCAATGCCAATGTAAGAGAACATGTGTTCAAGCACAGAAAGAGGTTCACCTGCTTCCATTTTGGCTATTTTCATAATAGTAACTTTGTTGAGAACTGACAATACATCCTTGTAACTCACAAAATCATGGAAATCATACATATCAAAAAATAAATTGCCTGGTTTCTCTGATGCTTTGTCTTTAACACCACCCATCATTGCTGTCCAGCTTTGCAAAAGTGTTCCTGGTAGTGTGCCAGTGAAATTATTAGAGGCAAGATCAATAATATGAAGCATCTCCCAATTGCCTGTGCCATGTTTGCATCCAATTGAACCATGTAGTTTGTTTGACCTTAGAATCAAGACTCGCAAGGTGGAAATGTTCTTAAAGAAGCAAGGGAATCTATCACTCAATAGATTGTTTCCAAGGTTTACAACTTCTAGCCTGTGACAGTTAACTAATGATTTTGGGATGGTGCCACCCATTAGATTTCCATTGAGATCAAGAAACCTTAAATCACATGAACTGGGAAATGAATCAGATAAATAACCTGATAGTTTGTTCCCAGCAAGATTTAATACCCTCAGAGTACTACTCCTTGTCAAACACTCAGGAATGAAGCCATTGAACATGTTATGGGAAAGATCAAGCATTCGAAGAGTAGAACAATCACAAAAGGATTCATCAATTTTTCCATGAAAGCTATTGTTTGAAAGGGAGAGGAAATATGCAAAATGGAGGTACTTCTTAGTATGAGGTGGGAAAAAGCTGAATCTATTGCTTGAGTAGTCCAACATGGCTGCATATTTTGGGAAAGTGGGAATTGACCCACCGAGTTGGTTGGAATGAAGGTCAAGCAATATTATATTGGAGACAAGATTTTCAAAGGGCCCTTCCAAATCTGTTAGAAAATTGTTGGAAATATTCAGATCAACCATAGAGTCAAATCTCCAAATCCAGTTAGGTATTGTCCCTTGAATCTGGTTGCTGGATAGGTCTAGAGAAATTAATTGGGATTGATTTCTCAAGAAAGCAGGGAATTCCCTCAACTTGCAGGAAGCCAACAATAGTCTCTTCTTACTGGGATACAATGAGATGCTAGGATCATCATTGAAAGTTGTATCAACTGACAAGTTGTTGTGTGAAAGGCCTAATGTATGTAGATTAGGCAATCTCCAAAACATATCTAGCCTTATTGTGCCGTTGAATTGATTTGAAGAAAGTTGGAGAAAATCCAGGTTTTTCATATGAAAGAGACACACAGGAATAGTCCCTTGTAATTTGTTGCCAGTCAAATCAACCAATTGTAATGTTGAGGAAGATGCATTTAAGATTTCATCTAAGAAACCATCAAATCCATTATGAGAAAGTGTAAGCTCCTGCAGAGAAGGAAGTGCAAATAGAGATGAGGGTACTCTCCCATTCAAGGAGTTGAAACCTAAATTAAGGACGACGAGATTCACAAGCCCCTTCAAGTAAGAAGATGGAATAGGTCCTGTGAAATTATTGTGAATGAGGGATAAATAATTGAGGTCCTTGGACATATTGAGAGATGGAAGAGGGCCAGTGAAGTTATTGAATGACAAGTCCAAGTGAACAAGTTGGGAGAGTCCTGAAAATGAAATAGGGAGTGTTCCACCGAATTGGCAGTAAGATAGATCTAATGTAGACAAAAGCTTCAAATTGGATATAGCACGTGGTAAGTGTCCAGAGAAATTTGTATTGGAAAGATTCAAGGTTTGAAGATATCCATCTTGTGGGAAGTATGGCAAGGAACCACCAAGGTCATGATTATCTGATATATCAAGGACCTTTAGTTTTTGTATTTGGAAGATATCCTTTGGAAAAACACCAGTCAATTCACAACTACTAAGCTGCAGGGTGGTCAAGCTAGAGAGATTTGCAAAGGATTCCGGCACCGGGCTTGACATATTATTCAAGTTCAGTTGAATCACAGAAAGAGACTGAAGCTTTGATAGGGAAGAATCAATTGGTCCTGAGAGATTGCAGGATGACATGCTGAAAACATGTAGCTTTTTCAATGAAGATATGGCATAGCACCACTCCTTCCCAGAAGTAGATACCCTTACACCATCCAGATACAGTTCTGTGATTTCTGTAAGGTTCTGCATAAGCATTCCTATATTTGGCTTCTCAAGTTTTAGAGTATGTATTGAGGTAAATGAAGTAGACAAATCAAGAGTAAACAACTTTGTCAGGTGAGTGATCTCAATTGGAATTTGACCCTCAAATCCAGCATTTGACAAGTTCAAATACCTTAAATTCTTCAACAAGCTAAACTTGGAAGGAATCATAGAATGGAAGTCATTGTAAGCCAAATTCAAATTCATCAAATAATGAAGGTTGAAGAGACTTGAATTGTCTAGGCCTCCGGAAATAAATTCCTGACTCAAGTCAAGACCAATTACATGTATAATAGCCCAACTTAATTAATTAGTAAATCTAGTGTAATTAATTGATTAACCATGTTTTACTGGGTAAAATTAAGTATAATGCTTAATTAAATGAATCTGAGTCACTTTGGAGTTAAAAAGTGTACTCAGTGAAAATTAAGGGGTATAAATGGGTACTGATGAAAGTGCCCAAAATATAAAAATAAAAATAGTAATATTCCTAGAATAATATTCCAGACTTTTGGGTAAAGTTTGGTAATTATTGGAGTTGAATAGATAGCTGAACCAATACCCGCTTAAAGTCACTTAACCTATGTTAAGTGACTAAAACACAAAAGAGCCCCAAACCCTCCCATTCCCGTCGATGCCAGAAACAGAAGAGAAGAGAGAAAGAAGAGGAAGAAAGAGAGGGAGAGGGAGAGAGAACCTAGGGGGAGCAAATCTCAACCATTTTGAGTGATTCAAAAGCTTAAATCGCTTAGAATCTCCTCCTCTTTCATAATCCTTGCTTTGTTTTGAGTGGGGAGCATTGTGGAGAGGGATATTGCCTCTCAAAAATTCGGCCATTGGAGAGATTTTGGAGTTTTGGTGGCTTCTACCTCCATGGGAGCTTGAGGAGCACTCACATCATTGTTGTGCAACCATTGGTGGTAAGATTTAAACCCTTGAACCTTATTTTCATGGAAAATCTCATGAGTAGGGTTTTGTGAATAGTAAAGTGGGAATTTTAGAAATTGTGAGTAAATTAACTATGTTCTAGGAAGATTTAAGCTTAGAGCATGTTATGAAAAATGCTAGGAACGACATTTAATCGGTGGAAATGAGCCTAGATAGTCATTTGATAATTGTTCATAATATTGGAAAATTCATGCTTGGATTGGTTAGTATTCTAGCATGTTGAACAATTAGTGAGTTGAATGATCGATTGTGTCCTTGTGATGTCTAGGATTGAGACATTTGGACCAACCGTGAGTGATCAACCATTGGAGCAAGCTATGGAGCTTGAATAGCTCATTGGAATTGGTAAGCTCATCCTTGTGTTGTGGTATGAATAGGATAGCTTGGATTGATGATGATGAGTTATCCTTGAATGCAATATGTTAATTGCATTACCCTTGTATAGGTGTATATTTGTAAAAGTGGATTGCTGAAACTGTTGGTGAAGAACAAAGGTCGACTGAAGCATTGAGGTAAGCCTTCGGACCTTGGGTGTAATTCCCTTGACTGTTCTACCAAGCCCTGAAAGGGTGGAGGTTGTCATTGTGTATATAAATGCAATAAAATAGTGTAATGCTTTGTTATACGTATGTGTATGCATTTGGTGTGGCATAGGATGGTGTTTCCCTATGTTGGTATGTGGCATGACGATGCGTAAATCATACTTGGTAGTTAGCTGGCCAGTAGGACTATTTGCATCTGAGTTTCCTTAGGACAGCTTGAGAGCTCGAGGGATTTCTCCTGGAGATGTATTGCACTTTGCATAGATATGTATTTACTGCATTATTATTGTTATTGCTATTACACTGATATGGAACTGTGGGGTGGAGAGATGCTCCAAGGACCCCTGGTTTACTGGATATATTCGTATATCTCACCCCGTGTTGTGGGGACCCCCTTTCAGGTAAGGATGCTGCAGGAGCCTCTGGTGGCAAGTGGCCATATATGGATTATGCATGAAATGTGGCATTTCTTTTGAGTTTATGCATGCCTTTGTAGTTGACATGTATAGGATTTTATTTTGAAAGCCCATGGTCATTTGTATATCTTGATTCATTGGATGAACTTAGCCTATGCTCATGCCTTTGGTTACACCTTTTGTTGATGGGAGCCAAGGGAATGATCATAGTGTTTTGTAAGCTAAGTTCTATGATTTGTAAAGGATATGTAATGTAAATGATGCCTACTTGAAATTCAATATATGCATGCTTGTTATGTATTGAGTTGTTGAATTGGTTGGGCTGAAAATCAATTAGGTACCCCTTTGTTTAAACTGGTAAACGATGAGAAAACAAAGGTCATGCTGCCCAAATTCTAGCTAAATCTCATGAGGAGAGGTTGGATGAGTGCTAGGATTTAGTTTTGGGGCATGGACATTTGGGGTTTGTAATGGGGATGCATATTTCCCTAGGCTTGGACTTGAGAAATGTGGGAATTGGAATTCCCTGGCAGCGCGCTTAAGCGCCCAGGAGCGCGCCCAAGCGCCCTGCTGCCCCTACGAGTGCCAATGCATTCTGCCTCCTCGCGCTGGAGCGCCCAAGTGGGGGCTTAAGCGCCCAGGATTGCACGCTGGAGCGCCCTGGCTTGCGCTTAAGCGCCCTTTGCTGCAGAAAGTTGGGATGCTTACTGTCCCCTCGTGTTTTAGCGCCCAGGGTGGGGCTTAAGCGCCCAGGGTTGCGCGCTTGGGCGCCCTGATGCGCGCTTAGGCGCCCATTCACACTGGAATGCCTGATGCTTACTGCCTCCGTGCGCTTAAGCGCCCAGATGGAGGCTTTAGCGCCCGATAGCGCGCGCTTGAGCGCCCGTTAGCGCGCTGAAGCGCGCGGGGCCTGTGACCAACACTCTCTTGTGTTGCTTCAAATTGTCCTAACTTGGGCTACAGTGCTCCGATTTGAGCACGGATTGAAGCCACAGGTAGCTAATGAAGAAACCTACAATATAGTAGAAGATGTGAACTAAATAAGAAGTAAATTAATGGTTTAAAAATGGAAAATGAACATGATGTTAAGCTTAATTTATCTGTTTCCGCAAGGTAATATGGTTATGATCACGAAATTGGGTATTATAAGTTCGGTATGTTTTAAAATGAAAAATTTATCCGGATTTTAATTGAAACCATGTGATTGTAACTGCGCTTAATATCATAATGCGATGTTAACAAACCGTTTCTAGAACGGGGTGTTACATCTTATGGTATCAGAGCAGTTTCGTAGGGAATAACTGTTAGCTATTGTTGAGTATGCTTAGTGTTTGATGCTTTATAGTTGTTTTAGTACTCTTTATGATTATTGCATTTGTGATCACTAAGTGTGGGCCTGATCAACTCACTTCTTTGTGTAACATGTGTAGTGACATGACGAGAAACCGAAACAACCCCGGACCATCAAACACCAATGCTCAGCCAGAACCTGTTTTGGCTGCTCTTGTGAGGCCTAGAAGTGGCCGTGGGGCAACGGGCGTACAACCTGATCCCGTGGCTGAAGCTCTTGCAGCTATTCAGAGGGAGTTGGCTGCTAGCAGGCAAGCCAATGAGAATCTAATGAAAACCAATGAAGACTCGCGGACTGCCATGGCCGCAATGATGACCGAGTTGAGGACGTTGAGGGGTCCTAGGCCCGTGAACCGGCAACCCACACCTCCTCATCACACTGCTACGCTTTCTCCACCTCCTTCACAAGAAGAGGGTGGAGTGGGTAACAATGAGGGTGAGGGTAGTCACCACTCCGGAAGTTGGAGTCATCACACTGAGGTTCATCAACCTCGAGTTGAAAATGTCGGTGATCATGAAGTGGAGGAAAGAAGATTGATGGCTTTCCGAAAACACAAACCTCCTTCTTTTAAGGGAGGTTATGAGCCAATGGCGGCTGCAAAATGGCTCCAAGCTATGGAGAAGATATTTAGGGTGATGAGATGCCCTGACGCAATGAAGTTGGCTTACTCTGTTTATATGCTGGAAGAGGAAGCGGAAGATTGGTGGACCAATACTGTGCAGCCATTAGAAGCTGAAGGTCGGGAGATCACATGGCGGTTGTTCGATACATTGTTCTTGGATAACTACTTCCCTAGAGAGGCTAGGGAACAAAAGCAGAATGAGTACAACGATCTCAAGCAAGGGTCGATGTCTATTGACCAATACTTCTCAAAATTCAATGAGTTGGTGAAATACGCCAACTATGGGCGAGCCTTACCCACTCCGGCTGAAATGACCTCCAAGTTCCAATGGGGTCTTAATGAGAAGATGTCTCGGAATATGTCAAATTGTGACATCCGAGAGTTCAGTCGGTTTGTGAACCAGTGTAGGAAAGTGGAAGAAGTGTATAAGGTGTCCCAAACCAAGAAGTCTTCTGAGGCCCAGGCACCTAGTTCCCATAGAGCAACGGGCTCAGGTTATTGGAAGGACAGGAAGGTGCAAGGCAAGAAGCTGAATGCGAATAAGCCCTTGACTTGTTAAAAACCCGGTACTCAGAAGATATTTGTTGATAGAGGACCTCCTCCCAAGTGCAAGGGATGTGGCAAAGATCATAGAGGTCCATGTGCTACCGGTGAATTGATTTGTTTTAAATATGGAAGATCTGGGCACTACTCCAGGCAGTGTCCTCAGAACGAAGCAAGGACTATGGCAGTTCAAGCTACTGCTGTTCCGGTCTCTGTTGTTCCACCTATGCTAGAGTCTCAGACGGTTGGTAGAGTATATACCATGGACCGTCAACAATCGGAGAAGGCTCCGAATCTAGTGAAAGGTACAATTTACATTGATAATATGGATGTTGAAGTGTTGTTTGATTCAGGAGATACACACTCTTGTATGTCTGACTTTATGGCCGTTGGGCTAAATTTGCAAATGTATGACATTCGCCCTCCAATGAAAGTGGTTACTGCTACTGGAGAGGAGTGTTATACATCCGTGTTGTGTAAAGATGTTGAATTCAAATATGAAGGCCGAGATTACGTGCTGGATTTTATTTGTTTACCTATGATCAGCCTTCAAGTTATCTTGGGTATGGACTGGTTGTCAAAGAACTGTGCTATGATAGACTGCTGTGGTAAAAGGATTGTGCTTGATGCTGATGATTCTGCTACTAGTTCTTCCCCATATCTATCTGTGTTGCAGGTTAGAAAGGCTTTGAGGGCCGGGGCATTGGGATATGTCTTTGTGGGGGGTTTAGTAGGCGGAAGTCATGAGGAGATTGACACTATTTCCGTGGTGAGGGAGTTTGTGGATGTGTTTCCAGATGAAATTCCACAACTTTCGCCTCATAGAGAGATTGAGTTCACGATTGATCTATTGAGATTGTGCACTGATTACCGTCAGTTGAATAAGGTTACCATTAAGAACAAGTATCCTCTCCCTCGCATAGATGATTTGCTTGATCAGTTGAGGGGTGCTTGTGTTTTCTCAAAGATTGATTTGAGGTCGGGTTATCATCAAATCCGAATTAGGCAGGAAGATATTCTGAAGACTGCCTTCCGATCTAGATATGGACATTATGAGTATCAAGTAATTCCATTTGAACTCACTAATGCTCCTGCGGTGTTTATGGATTACATGAATCGCATATTTAAGCCGTTTCTGGATCAATTCGTGATTGTGTTTATTGATGATATCCTGATATATTCCAAGAGTAAGGAAGAACATGAAGGTCACT